GGGCCCAGAGTGTGAACCACTCTCCTCCTGTGTCCCCAATGCTGCTCCCGCCTCCTGTCCTGGCCCTGGTCGTAGGCTAACTGGTGAGCTTCTTAGATCTGGGCCCTTTGCTTCAGCTTACAATCCTGTGTCTTAGTTCTGTCTTCCTCTCTGGATGGACATGGTGTCAGTGCGACTTAAATTGCTTCCAAACCCGACTTACGTTCAAATCCTTAATCACCCAATATCCCCCGGCTCTTATTTGGACCCTTTGCCTGGACTCCTAAGCCTGTATTTTGTCTCCTGGCCACTCTCCACCCCACCCAAAGGAGGTGCTGGTCAACTTGAGGCAGGATTTATTTATAGCCAGTGAAAATGTTATCGTTTCAAATTCTAGTGGTTAACATAGTGTATGTAGTCACTTCTTTATTTTAGTTAAAGTCTTTTTTTTGTTTTGTTTTGTTTTTCGAGACAGGGTTTCTCTGTGTAGCTTTGCGCCTTTCCTGGAACTCACTTGGTAGCCCAGGCTGGCCTTGAACTCACAGAGATCCGCCTGACTCTGCGTCCCGAGTGCTGGGATTAAAGGCATGCGCCACCACCACCCAGCTTTAGTTAAAAATCTTAAAACTTTGTCCATGAAGTTTTTAGAGGTATCACAAGGAACACAGCTGGGTCAACCTTTCTTCCCTATGTATTCTAGAAAAAAAGGATCATAAGAGCATAGGCAGGTCATAGTGCATTTAGTGCATAATCCTTGTCAGCCTGGTGAACACTCACTGTGGATTGGGAGGCAATATGGCGTCCTCAGCTGGCTGGCCACACTTCTCCTTTGTGAACTAATGCTCATGTCCTTCACTGAGTTTTTAAATCGATTCCTTTATGTTCCTTCCTGATAATTTGTATGAACTCTTTGTGTTGCTGGCAAGGATCATTTATTGAAAAATACTTGTGATGTTCTCATCTGCCAGTCAGTGGTATTTGTTTGTGGCATCTCTTATACAAATACTGAGTTTTTCTGGGGTTATAGTTACCATTGTTTCTACTGTGTTGTATGTCTTGTTTGTCATTTTCTGTAATGGTATTAAAGTTTTGTTCGTCATCTTTATCTTTTATTGACCCCCACATGTCTGTCCCCGCCCCCTTCTTTCCTCTGGTGTTGTCTACAGCCCTTCCACTGGATTCGGTGTGTTTTGCCCTCACTTCTCTGTTGTGCTGTTGGTTTGGTTTTGTCTCTCTCCCCCTCATAGAATGGAAGCTCTGTGAGGGCAGGGACTTTGGCCTGTTTCATTCATGACTGTATTATTAATACCTAGAATGGTCACTGGTATCCAGTAGGTGCTCAATAAATACTATTTTTGGACAAATAAAGATTAAGTCATCTGGATTTGTGTGTGTGTGTGTGTGTGTGTCTGGTGTGGCTAGGACTCACTCTGTCTCTTTCTGGCTTATGAGAAGCTTGTTTTTCAACATCATTGTCCACTGAGGTTTTTTTTTTTTCCTTGTCACCTTTGGCAAGCTGGAGTTCTCCCCCCCGCCCCCCGTGCTGTTATCTTTGAATATTCTTGTCCTGCCCCTCTGCCAGAGTCTTTATAGAAGCCCAGTCTTTAGACGTAGGAGTTGGGTGTGTGTGGGGAGAGCAGACAGGTCCAACCTACCGATAAGTCTACAGAGATCGTAAGCAAGCATGTAAGAAGTACCCTCTGTAAAGCAGGTGTGAACATGGACGTGAGTTCCTGCTCTCAAGGGACTCTCTGAATGACCTTTAAACTTACCAGAGGGTGAGCAGAGTGTGCTAAGTGACATACCCGGTTCTAAGCCATGGTCCTTTGAAAGGGTCCTTTCAAAATATCCCTAAAGTTTAGGTGTTGTGAATATGATATTTTGAAAGGACCATTTCTGGGAACACAGAAACTGGACAGCTTATCCTATATTCTGAGGAAATGAAATTTGGCTTTGCCCCTACCTCTGTTTCTGACTGGGCTTTGTATTCACAAATTCACAAATTCCTTATCCTTTCCAAGATTTTGATTCCTTTTCAGTAAAATGAGACCAGTCATGACAGTACCTGTCCCAGAGGTGGTGGCACGGACTGACTGATAACGTGCATGCCAAGTGCTTTTATGGCCACAGTGCCTCCAAGTGTGAACTAATCCTCCTGTGGGTGGACAGTCTGCAGGGAGGAGGCAGTATCTGATTGCATCTTGCAGGATGGGTTGGGTTTTTCTAGGCAGGGATTGACAGGGTAGACGAGGTCATGCCAGATAAGATGCAGAGTAAATAAAACAAAAAATATGAAGGCCAGAAAGTATGGGGTGAGTCCAGGTGTGGGTCTCATTTGACTGCATTAGACGAGGGAGTGGTAATTGAAGAGGCAGGAAAATGTGGGTTGAGACCCATTGTGGTGGGTGGTGGGCACCGAGCCGAGAACAAGGTTGTTACCACTTGAGATTGCTCAGTGGCTCCTCCTGCTTGGTTTTGCCTGAGCCTCAGAGTGGTGTCTAGGATGCCGGGCTAATAGCAGGGATGAAGGAAGAAAGAGGGCTGGGAGGAGAGCTTGGCTGGTGTGGGCAGAGTTCATATTCACAACACCTGCATTTTAGGGGTATTTTGAAAGGACCATTTTTAGCGTCAGTTTTGTGCCAGCTGTGGAGAGATGGGCGTGGTCTTGCTCTGAGTCAGCCTTCTTCCCAGGTATTCCCATCAGCATCTGGGGCTGTTCCTCTGAAATTGCGTCCATCCAGGAAAGCTCAGGGACAGACAAGCAAGTTGTTGCTTTCTTTCTTCATCCCACTTGCCTCCTCCGGGGGGGGGGGGGGGGGGATTTAAAGAATGGGGCCTTTCTGGGTGTGGTGGTGGCACATACTGTGGCCTGTAATTCCAGAACTTGGTAGAGGGAGGCAGGAACATTTGAAGTTCAAGGTCATCCTCAGCTGGCCTGGGCTAATGAGACCCTGTCTCAGAAAATAAAATGGGCGGGGACTAGACTGGGGAGATGGCTCAGTTGGCAGAGTGCTTGCCGTGAAAGAATGAGGGCCCAAGTTCAGATCCCCAGCGCCAGGCAGACATAGGAAGAAGGTCCCTTGGACTTGCTGGCCGGCCAGTCTAGCTTAGTTGGTGAGATCCAGGTTCAGTGAGGAAGACATCGGTCATCAACCTCTGCATGCACATGTGTGCATGTGCACAGACACATACATACATGTACACACACACACACACACACACACACACACACACACACACACGTACGCACGCACGCACGTACTGGGCAGCCTCAAGAAGTCCTTCGTAAGGGCAAATCCCACAATACCGTTTTTTTCCCAGCCCACCCTTTTCCCCAGGCCGCTGCCACAATGCTAAGGTATGGTCCTCAGGAGGATGGTAGCAGAAGAATCCCCCAACAGCAGGATGTGGATAAAAAGAGCCCGGGTCTCAGCATTAAAGAGGCTGCGGCTGAGATCTCAGCTCTTTCCAGCATCTTGCACCTTGGATCCTTGCTGGGGGTGATAACCACTTAGGGTTGTTTGTGAGCATCACGAACTAAGCCATCCAAGGCCTATACCCAGTACATCTTCCTTTCTTTCCAGTGGATGCATTGGCATTGGGAAGCCAATGTATTCCTTCTTCCCTGACATCTAAGTCATTCTGGGGTACCCAGGAGGATCTGCATGCTATTCTACTCTGAGAAGTTGAATTCTCATCAATCTAAGGTAGAAATCAAACCAAATAAGATTATCTTAGCTCAGAAGCCCATTTCAACTGATCCTTTTGACTAGCATAGTTCTATTGTTATATATTGCTTCAAACTTAATAGAAAAAATTGATTAAAATATGCATCCTGTTCGTATCCAGCCTGGCTGAATGCCACAAGACACATTAATTGAAAGTGGATTTCTACTACCTACTCCAGCTCCATGAAGATGAAAAATGTGCCCATCTCCTCTGGGCTCCCATTGATTTTTCATTTTCTCCACTCACAGCTTCATTTAGCAATTTTCAGTTTCATTTGGTCGGGGCCTTGATTCATCCCCTCCCATGAGGTAATGCACCCTCCTCTTCATCCTTGCGAAGCCATTTTTCCAGGCTGTGTTAGTGCAGGACACCATCTGATCTTGTCAAATTGCTCCATGCCCAATGATATTGAAAAGGAAGCTGAGCTTTATTATTTTCACTTTTACATTTTTATGATGGCTTTTCCTTTATCAAGGACAATGGAGTTTAAATTTATAACTCAAAAGGGTAGAGATGTAGCTTAGTGGCAGAATGACTTGGCACTCAAGGGCCTGGGTTTGATCCTCAGCATTGCAAGTAAACCAAGCCAAACTGAACTTGAAAATATGACAATATGGCAACACCGCACAACTTCAAAACTAGAGTCTACCCTTTGGAAGAAGGGTGTAAAATGCTGCTTATGTTCATGTTTTCCTGGTGTGGTAATAGGGAATCAAAAATGACCCCTGGTTTGCTGAGAGTATAGGAATGACTCTGACAGATCATGGAGCAAGAGATCAGGTTGAGAGCAGGGAACGTGCTCTCAGGACAAGAGGAAGCAGAAGCAAGAGGTGGAAGTTTGAATGAACTCTAGAAGGTTCTTCCTGTCCTGTCCCATCCCTGTTCTGTAAGAGCCCTGACTCAATGGCTCCCTAGTGGTTTTGAAAACAGTGTTGGTATGGGGGGGGGGGGGGATAACTGGAGAGATGGCTCAGTGAAGAACACTTGCTGCTCTTGCATAGACTCAGGGTTCGGTTCCCAGTGCTTACGACCGCCTACAACTCCAGTTCCAAGGGATCCTATACCCTCTTCTGGGCTCAAAGGGTAACCGTGTGCATGTGGTGTACATAAAACTCCTGCAGGCACATACACATAAAAAATAAATACATTCTGAAAACAGTATTGAGGATCTGAGCTAATTCCTTGTGGAAATTTTAAGTTTTCAAATACTGTGACAACAGATATTTCCCATGAGAAGGCTGTAGGGACTCATAATAAAGTTTCATGTTTCTTTATTTTGACCTAAAATTCAATTTCTCAGTATTCAGAAACATTCCGGAATAGCATTTACACATCTTTGACAAATATTTCAAGGAGAGAGTGCACAAAGTTTGAAGTAGATAGCCGTGGTGGTGGTGGTGGTGTGTGTGTGTGTGTGGGGGGGGTCCTCAGGGAGGAAGCAATAACAGCAGTGTGTTGGTGATGACAGGTGTGGCTTCTTCCTTAACGTTAATATTCTCTCAGCCCTTCGATCCTGATCTTGAATACGTGTGCCTGTGGGCCTTGTGGCTATTCCTACAATGAAAACAAACACACAGTAAAGCAGATTTGAAAGGAAATAGGCATGTCACACATTTAGCCCAGCTTCTTCCTATGACAAGAGCTTAAAGAGTTGACTCAATGTGACTATTGGTATTTTTTTGTTTTGTTTTGTCTGGTTTTCTGAGAAAGCAGCCATTCATGAGCACCACGCAGAACTGTTTCAGGCCATTCATGAATCAGGCAGCACCATGCACAAGTGTTTCAGTGTTTCAGGACTTCACAAGGGGCACAAAGGAGAAACTTTCACAGGGTGTCGTCTGAAGCAAGCCAAGGCAGATATGGAGGGCTGGGGATGTAGTTTGGTCCCTAGACTGTCTGCCTAGTGTACATGAAGGCCTGGGTTTAATCCCCAGAATAAACCAGGCATGGTGGTACACTCTGTAAGTGGAGGCAGGGGTCAAGTTCAAAGTCATTCTCAGTTACTTGAGAGGTGAAGGCCGGCCTGGGATCCATGAGACCTTGAACTAAATTTAAAAATAAAGTGTGTGTGTGTGTGTGTGTGTGTGTGTGTGTGTGTGTGTGTGTGTGTGTGGTTAAACTAGAAAGTGCCTAGTTAGAAGTTAGTTGGCAGTTTCTGATCTCTGAAGCCCCTAGATAGAGGTTCATTGGTGGATTCTGGTCCAGTACTTGCTCTGATTGGTGCTCCTCATTATAGGCTAGCTTTTGGCTTCTGATTAAATTTGAGTTTCATTTTCTTAAGGCAGTTGTTGACCAGTAACTCCCCAAGAGGTTCTATTTGCTTGGGTCAGAACCCCAGGCATTGATTCCTAATTATTTCAACACTTTCTGGGTTTGCAGCCTCTCATTATAAGATTTTCACCCAAACCTAACTGTTCTTCTCCATCATAGCTGGGTTGTTTTTGTCTCAGTGTGAGACTTCGAGTGGTGACCAGAGTGTTTCTTTCTTTGTTTATAATGGGACCTTACACTGTAGCCTAGGCTGGTCTGGAATTCACTCTGTGGCCTCTGCTGACCTGGAATATGTGACAGTCTCCCTGCCTTGCCCTCCTGAGTGCTGGAATTACAAGTGTGAGCCCCTGTACTTACCCTTGACTCTGGGTGTTGGTTGAGGTAGACTCATGTAGTTCAGAATGACCTCAGATGTACTGTGTAGCTGACACTGACCTTGAACTGCTGGTCAGTACCTGAGTATAGACATTACAGGTGTGCACCACCACCCAGTTTTATGAAGTGCTGGTGATCGAACCCAGGGCTTCATGCATGATAGGAAAACACTCTACCAAGTAAGCCACATCCCCAGCCCCTGACCACCAGTTGGGTTTGTTGTTGTTGTTTTGTAGAGGGTGGTTTGAGACAGGGTTCCTCTGTGTAGCCTTGGCTGTCCTGGAACTCACTCTGTAGACCAGGCTGGCTTTGAACTCACAGAGATCCGCTTGCCTCTGCCTCCCAAGTGCTGGGATTAAAGGTGTGTGCTACCGCTGCCCAGCTTGACCAGCAGTTTTTGACATGACAGTCAGTACAGATTCCAGGAGAGAGAAAAGCTGACTGGACACACGGCTCAGGGATGTGTCATCTAGCTGGGAGGAATCTTGCATGCACTCCGCTTCATGTACTTCCTCTTTTATGAGGCATTTTCCACATATATTATCATTTCCCAGCTGGGATAAGAAAATACCTAAAGAATATTTTTCTTAACAACCTGTGCCAATCATGTCTAATATCAGATGCTAATTTGTGGCTGTATTTCACTCACTTCTCCTCACAGTTCCCCAGTTCCATATTGAGTTATGTTTCCTGAGCCTTGCACAGCTGGGTGTTGGTCACATAAGCCCAGCTATAAGGGGCGTCGTTTTCCATCTTCAAACATAAAATGGCCTGTCTCCTACACGTTATTGTTAGAGAGAAAAGCACAGGAAGTTGCAAGTCTCACAGCTTCGGGCTGCATAGAACCTGTCCTAATCTGTGTGTAGGGGGTGCGGTGGGTTATGTGCATGTGGTGCGCGCGCGCGCGTGTGTGTGTGTGTGTGTGTGTGTGTGTGTGTGTGTGTGTGTTATATGGGTGCATATCCCTGTGTGCATGCTTGTGGAGGCCGGAGTACCACCTCTAGTATCAGCCTTATTCCTCAAGAGCCATCCACTTCTATTTATTTATTTGTCTGCTAGTTCCTGCCTCCCAGCACAGGGCCCACCGCCATGCCTGACTTTTTAAATGCATGCTCTGAGGATCCACCTCAGCCTTGTAACCACTTGACTGACTGAGCCAACATAGTATGTCGGCTACATAGTCTACTCAACCCTGTTCCTAAATTTTTGTATGATTTCTTCTTGGTCTGGTTGGTGACTCTTTTTGAGGCAAATTGAGAGGAATCCTTTCACCACAGTAATGGTTCCAAAGCATCTCATAAAACAAAACAAATCCCAACAGGTTGCTAGCCCACTGCCTCCCCAGGCAAGGCCAGTGTGTGGCCATGCTTAAGGATAACTGCTTAGTTCACACTGCAGATCCAAGTGTCTCAACTGTTGCTACAGAGGAGAAAAGCAACGATCAGTTATAACAAGCTACAACTGCTATTTCCCTTCTCTTTAACAAAAAATTAACTTAAAATTTATGTATATGTGTGCCTGTATGTGCACCACTGTGTGCAGTACCCACAGAGGCCAGAAGAGGGCATCAGATCCCCTGGAGCTGGAATTCCAGGGAGTTGTGAGCCACCCAGTGTGGGTGCTGGAAACTGAATCCTGGTCCTCTGCTAGAGCAGTAAGTGCTCTTAACCACAGAGTCATCTCTCCACCCCTTCCCTTCCCTTTTAAACACCAAATCAGCCTGAAGGCTTAGACAGTTGGCATCTTGCAAGATCTCGTTAGCGTAGGTCATCTGTTCATTGTGGTGCAGAGCCATGCTGATGGAGACAGGAGTTAGAAAGCATCATTTTAACCTCAGTTTAAAGATGCCAGGTAAGATTATAGGCAGGGGGCCTAGAACTGGACCTCAGTGTGACATTTAAATTCAGCTAGTGTAACAAGATTAGGTCTCGTAGAAGTCACCTATGAAAGTCTGGAAAGTGAGTGCTCTGACTTCCTGCTTCTTAGCATCCGGACTTGAGCCTAGTAGTCTGGATCATTGACCACCACCTGGTGACAGCTAGACCTAAATGCGGATTTTCTGAAGACTAATTGAACTTCCTGAGGGTCACGTTACAAATTGGAATACCTCAAGAAGTCACAGAAGGCCTGGGTAGAAGAGCAAGCCTGTGATCTCAGCACTCTGGGGTGGGGTAGAAGGATCAGGAAGAGTTCAAGGTCTTTGGCAACAGAGTGAGTTCCTAGTCAGCCTTGGCTATGTGAGGCCCTGTTTCAAAAAATTAATAGTGATGGAAAAGAGAGGCTGAGGTGTAGCTCAATTGGAAGAATGCTTACCCAGCCTACAAATAGCCCTGGGTTTGATCCCCAGCACTGTTTAAACCTGGTTTGACTGCAGATGAGGAAAGTTCATTTAACAGCGTCACCATCGTGTCAGGAACATTTGCTAAAATCCCTGAATCCTCCCCACCCACCATCCCTTCCTCCTCCTCCCAACCGAATGCCTCCTCAGAGTGACATCATCCTTTCCCTCCTTTCTCAGAAAAGGCTCCCAGAACCTTCTCTGACATGCCTCCTGATGCCTTTGCTGTGGATTGATTTATAGCCATTGCTTGGTATCTGTGAGCATCTGGTTCTAGAATTCTCCACGGAGACCAAAAAATACCTGAGGATTTCGAGGTCTTTCAGGAAATTGTGTAGTATTCGGGCAGAGTCTGCATACATCTCTTTCCTTAAGCATCTCTAGATTACTTATAATAATAATAAGATATAATAAATATAAATATATAAATAATAAAATAACAACACTATGTATATAGTTTTTATACTATATTATATAAGGAATATTAGTAAGAGAACAATCTGTGCACATTAAACCCAGACACCTAAAACCTATTTCTGGCCTGTAGTTTGAATCTGAGAATGCAGAACCCACATATATGGAAAACCAATGTCATTTCAAAACCGGAATCTAAGGGTGGTGGTCAGCAGGATGGCTTTTGTCTGCCCATGAGATTCTCATGTCCCAAGGTCCCGCTGCTCTCTGCGGCCTGGTTTTAGTGTTCAAAGAAAACCACATCTCTTGTTTCCTTGACTCCCAAGCCATTCAAGAGTCCTTCAGAAGCAGAAGGCTAGGGTGTTTGAAATCACTGTTGATGTTATTTGATAGAATTTCATTCCTTACCATCGTAAGCCCTGCAGTGAATTTCAGGTCTCATTTTGGCTGCCACCTAAAGATTTAAGTCATTTTAGGACTGCGGACCTAGCTCAGTGGTAGAGTGCTTACTTAGCATGTACAAGGTCCTGGGTTCAATACCCAGTGTCACCAAAAGGGAAAAACAAAACAAAAGACAACCAAAAGTTAATTTTAAAAATCTTAAGGACTGGGGAGATGACCCAGTTGGTAACGCGCTTGCCCTGAAAACATGAGGGCATGACTTTGAATTCCTACCACCCACAAAAAAGCTGGTCATGGTGGGCTGTGCCCGTAGTTCCAGTGATGATGAAATGGGGCTGAGACAGAAAGGCTCAGTGAGCTCCAAGTCAGTGAGAGATCATGTCTCAAAACATAGGGTGGAAAGTAACAGGAAGATACACAGTGTCAGCCTCCGGCCTCCACATACATATGCAAACACACGTACTTGCATGTGTGTGCAAACATGTAAATTTGTATATCAACACACAAAATCTCTGTACTGCAGGAAGGAAAGGCAAAAGAGCATTATGGGGGTGATTTTTGTAAGCCATTCCTATACAAAATGGAGAAAGTGACCCAGTTTTTTTTTCCTTTGGGCCCACAATCCTACACCAACATCAGAACTATTTCTCTTCCCTAATCCCCTCAATGGCTTTTATTTTCACTTGGGTACACTTTGGTGTTTCTGTCCCTCGAGGCTTTTTATAAACACTTTGCCACTTCGCAATGTGTTTGTTTCAAGTGTTTGTGTGATACACTCCATCATGGTGGTATCTCGTAATTTATGGCCGGTTCCTTTAGTGCGAGGCATTAAGGTTATTTCCATTTTCTCTCTATTACAAATAATGGAGGCAAGAACATCTTTCTCCATGCAGCTTTTTTCCTGTGTTTGAGTTATATCCTTAGGACAAATTCCCAGGAGGGGGATTAGTGGGTCAAAGGGTCTGAGCAGCTTTATGGCTCTTAATATTTATTGCTAAATTGCCTGAAGGGTCAGTCTAATTTACAGTACCACCTGCAACATATGAGTGTCCGCCCCTTCCAGACTTGACAATGTTGGCCTCTTCAGGCACTACTTTGGGGCAGATTTCAGAGGTATTAAGGTAACTTGTGACTTTGTTAGTTATTAAAAACCTTAAGTATGTTTATTTGGTTCTATTTTATATGGCTAGCTTTTCTTCCCATAGGGTGATAGATCTTGATATCACATGAAATTTAAAATATCTTATAATAAAAATGTCAAATGCAGGCCGGGGATATAGGTCAGCTGACAAAATGATCACCTGGTATGCAGGAGGTCCTGGGTTTGATCCCCAGCACGGCATAAAACTAAGTGTGATGGTGCAGCCTGTAATCCTAGCAGGAGGGTCAAGTGTTTGAGGTTATAAGCTACACAGAGAGTCTGAGGCCAGCCTGGGTTAAAGACTCGGTCTCAAAATGAATAAGTGCCCAGTTCTCCCAGCACAAAGAGGATATCGGTGAAGCCCACTAGGCTCATTCCAGGCTAAACAGATGATCCATGTAGCCACAGTGGTTTTCTTTACTCCTCTTTTCTCTATCTCTGTGTTCCATACTGAAGCAAATCCTAGCTCATGTTCATAAGTTTCCTGCACAGTGCACAGTGCCTGTCTGAAACACGCACTTGTTCTGAGGCACTCATGATGCTGTCACCCCACCTGACAAGATGACACAGTTCCTTAGTGTCAGTTGGTACCAGGGTGCAACACAATTCTCCAGAGCATCTCTTCCCTGCTGTTCTGTTCCAGCCACCACACACATTCTTCATTTCTAAAGTTGGGGCTGGAGAGATGGCTCCAGTTAGGAGCACTGGCTTTTCTTGCCGAGGACCCAGGTTGGATTCTCAGCATTCACGTGGCAGTTCACCTTTTGTAACTCCAGTTCCAGAGGATCTGAAACCCTCTTCTGGCTTCTTGGAGAGTCCATAAGTGGTGCATACATACATACATTTCAGGCAAAACACCCACACAACATAAAATAAATTAATTAAAAAAGTTTCTCATGTCAGTGTGTAAAAGATCCTTATTTTTGAAGGTTGCTTAGATCTTCACTGGCAGGGTTTAGTGTAGGTTGTTCAACCAACCACTTATTTTGTGTTTTCTAAAACCAAAAATCACATGTCCAAGTTATTTCTAATTTGTCCAATGTGTCTTTGGGATATATGCCTAGAGATAGTATTTCTGGATCAAACGATCATCTCACATATGCTTTTCCAGGTGCCACTTGGTTCCCTTGCATGGGAGTTCTATCACTTTGCACTGAGGACTTTTTATAAATGGGTATGCAAATGCCCAAATACACGAGCTTGTTGGAAAGGTAGCATACCATTGATTGAGTCTGCATACTGATCTCACTTTTGTTCAAGACATGACCTGGCACAAAGTACCCTGGTTCTTGCCTTTGGAGATCCTCTGCTCTGTCCCAGGAAACAAGATGCCTGAGTGAAAAGCCAAGAGGAGTCCAGGATGTGTTACATGATGTTACAGGTGTCACATGAGTTACAGAGGTGACAGTGCAGCCCAGGTCTGTTCCTGCCTACTGAGTCCTTAGCCCTCTGAATTCCATGAATAATTTTAGTGATCCTTACCCCTAAACAAACTTTGGATACCTGGTTGGTCAGATTCAAATGTATTAGGAGTAGTAACCAAATGTTTGAAATGCAGATGCTGTATCAGTCCAAGCTAGATAATTAATCACCTCTGTTGACTTGTTTGTGTCTGTCCTGAAGCAGACTTCCTGAACTGTAAGCAGATATTATCCAAACAGCACAGTCGGTGTGGAGAGGTTGGCTAAACAATCCTAACGGGACATCCCTGGGTCTCAGAATCCCCTGTTGTCAGAGATTCTCAGGTCAGCTGTGATCCAGGAAACAGAGAATCCAGGTGGAAGGGCCGGGATGTAGCTCAGTGGGCAGAATGCTTACCTGACATGCACAAAGCCCCAAGTTCAATCCCCAGCACCCCATAAAACAGATCTGGTGGTACACACCTGAAATCCCAGCTCCCAGGATGTGGAGGCAGGAAGATCAGAGGTTCAAGGTCACGTCCAGCTGTATAGCAACTGGAGACAAGCCTGAGATACATGAGACCCACCCTGTCTCAAAAAGAAAAAAAGAATTAAATCGAAATGCAATCTGCACACAGGTTCTATGTAAACAAGCAGAAGTATTTCTGCCCACTGATTACCTTGCAGTCGTACAGTTCTGCATTTTCATCTGACGATTTTCCTCTTGTCTCTTTCCAGATTGAATCATTAAAGAAAAAAGTGCAGCAGAAGCAGCTCCTAATATTGCAGCTTTTAGAAAAAATCTCTTTCCTGGAAGGAGAGGTAAGAGGCTACGGCTCTTTCAAGTCGGTGTCTTCCCTGCCATTAAATTTTATGTTGCTGATCCTGCTGTGGACACTTAATTAAAAATATGGCTATTTCCTGGCCTTGTAAAATTGATCGAAGGTTAACTGCCAGCTCTGCAAAGGAGCCCTGACAGCTCTTTTTTCTCTACCCTCTCCCTCTCCACGCTCCAGCCTGCTACTCGAGGCTGTGCTTGCAAACAGCGTGTCTGCTTCAAGAATTCCCCCAGCAACTGATACACCGTCAGCACTCACAGGCTCCCACGAGTGTGGAGGGCTTTATAATTGGTGAATGATCTGCACATCCACCCCTCACATGTGATTTCCTTGGCAACTTTTAAAATGTGGAGAGAAGGGTTGCGATTTCTGTGTGAAATGGAAAAAGAGGCAGAGAAGGTCGGTGGCGTCACTGAGGCTCACCCAGCCTAGGAAAACACGGATCCCTGGTTGGAGAACAGACTCCCAGTCCAACACTTGTCCTGTTACTTCGATAAGCATGTTTTAGAGGTGACTTAGTTTTGCCTGCAACTCAGAGTTGTTTCATAGTCCTGCCTCTGGCCTTTTGAAAGGCATTTGGGGGATTTTGTGGCAGTCCCAGGGAATGAAATTACGAGTTGGAAGACTCTTAGGAGGCTGGGTATTAATAGAAGAGCTGAAATCCATTTTCCCTGTAGGCTCTTTATTAAGAACTTGGCATCGAGCCTTTGTCTTCTTCGGCTCCACAAAGAGCTGGTTTGCCAAGCACCTGCCCTTGTCACTGTCCCTCTCTGTGGCCCTTCCCCCATGAGACAGCCCAGGACACAACAGTGAAGCCAGAAGAGAAGTAGGATGGCATTTGTTGAGTGCCTAGTGCATGCTGGGCATTGCTGGTTCTTTCTGTATGGTCTGTATAACATAGGCACAAAGAGTGGAGCCAGGTCTATCCTGGTGGAGCACGTGACTGCTTATTGACCGAGTGATCAAGAAGGTCTCTTATCTCTACAAAGGAATCATAACTATACCCGTGCGGGACAGTGTGGGACAGTTCCAGGAGAGCACATAGGAAATGCCTGGCAGGGGCTGGAAAGATGGATCAGCCATTAAAGGCCAGGCTCACAACCAAAACTATAAGGAGTGAGCGCTCTGTTCTTAGATTATTGAAAGGGCTGCCCTCTGAAGAAATGACATATCCCCTGTTTTAAAGATAAGAGGCTGAATTTCAAGAAAATCATCTCCTGTCCACACTTACAGTAGAGACTGTGAGTCTGAATCTACAGTCTCCCTGCCTGCTGCATGCTTGCAGGAGTGGCAAGCCAGGTCATCATTTACTTTGATGGAGGGACTGCCCACTGCTGCCGTAACCAGAAGCCTCCATGGCCGCTAGGGACCTGGTATCAGATTCAAGACCCATAAGTCTCAGTGTCTTAAAGATGTGTAAATGGATATTTTTCTGTTCGCACTCATGTCTTCTCCTCCTTGGTCACTGGGCCCAGCACCAGCTTTTTTTTGAAGACAGTATCTCAAGTAGCCCAGGCTGGCCCCAAACCCTGTGTGTAGTCAAGGATGACCTTGACCACTTGCTTTTCTGTCTCCGCCTTCTAATTACAGGGGTACAGGTATGTGCTGCCTCCCCTGGTTTCTGAAATCGCAGCCCTGTGTGTATTGGGTGTGGAGGTGCAGATGCATAGCTTCCTAGTGACAGCTGAGAGTCCCCGGGAGAGGTCTATGTACCCAGAGAGAAGGAGTCTGCAGAAGACAGGGAAGAGATGCTGCCAAAGACAGGAGGCCCCCCCCCCACCCAGTGGGTCCTCCACCTTGCTTCTGTCTGTGGCACTCCCAAGCTCTCCAGTAGACCACTAGGTGTCCAGGGGAGTGTTGTGCACAGTGAGGGGCTTGCAAATACATGCTTTGCTGAATGCTCAGATGATTCAGCTCAGCTCATGGTTTGGGCTGCTGAGATGTGGCTATGAGGTGATGTTGGGAGGTGATTCCAGGGGTCCCCAGTGTAGAATGGGGAGATGAGGCTGGGAAAGGAAGCTGACCTCTATGGGCAGCTGAGGCTCATGACCCTTGGGGGCTCTGGGATATGGAATGGAGCTAGCTTGAGTTATCTCCAGCAGACTGAGCATTCCCTAACTCCACCAAGACAGTGGCTTGGGTCTGCTCCTGGGGGTCTGGCCATTTGGCCACCTAGGCAGGATCACTTTGCCTGTGGTGCTCACAGGAAACCCCAGGTAAAGACTGAGGAGGTGATGTGTGTGAGGAGGCCCTGGGCATTAGAGGGTGCCGGAGGGCCCTACAGTATCAACTATGCCCTGTCTCAGAGCAGGACTGGGAATCCAGTCTTCCTTAAGCATTTAAACACTGATTATAAAGCTCATTAACCTTCCTTAAATTATTTAAATCCAGAGCAAATATGGCCAGTTGCTCTTGACCACTTTCCACATCGACCTTAAACAGCAGACAAGATTACAAAACAAGTCACATGAAAAAAATTCAATGCAGTTAGACTTAAGTATTCTCAAATATTAAATATCACAAATTTAACTCATTGTGTTGTTAATTTTTTTTAACCTTCCTAAGGCTACTGTTTCATTTGTTTCAGTATTATGTGTGTATGTGTGTGTAGGCTAGAGGACAACAACCTTGGATGTTATTCCTGGGGAGGACTACCTGTCTTTTTTGAGACAGGATTTCCCATTGACATGGAATGTAGCAAGTAAGTTAGGCTGGCTGGCCAGTGAGCCCCAGAGATCCTCCCGTTTCGAGCTCTCCAGAGTTGGGATGACAGGTCTATCCCATGATGCCCAGCTTTTTGCATATGTATCCTTGCTGGCTGTGTGTGATTACTGACACCGATGAGCACCTCTCTTTCCAGCTGTGTGACTATGTGTGACTATGATTCTGAGCTGTCCTTCTGTGGGCTGTGGTATCCTGGGCGAGCTGATTCTCACTTCACTTTATTATTACTAGCACAGAGGTGTTACAGACAGACATATAATTAATACATAATAAACTATGTTTTAGAAAAAGCTCCTAGGTCAAAAATATCAATTACATTTCTTACACATCTTATAATCATCTTACTTTTCTATTATAAAATTATCTTGGATGCTGATATAAAGACATCTAATAATACTCCTTATATATTGTATATTAACTTTGCCTTTGAATGCTATGATGGACAAAAGGCGTTTCTCAGACTCAGCTTGCTACTGGATCATAACAATTTTTCACCCTCTGCTTTTAAGCAGTTTTCTATTGCTATAAGAAAATGCCTAAGGTAGGTAAATGGCTGAAGAGCCTTGGTTCTTACACACATCTTTGCTTAGCCCTACATCGTCCTTAGGTCTGTGGGGAGTGTAAGTGTATAGTGGTAAGTCAGAGCTGACTCACGAGAGTTAACTGTATGCACCCGGATACCTCTTATTTCTTCACTCTGTGGTATCATATAGGACTCAGGCAGGTTCAGGACTCGGGCAGGTTCAACCTGCTGCTGCATGTAGCTGAGGATAGCTGTGAATGATCATACGTGTCCTTACAGTGTTCTGAGGAGAAAGCTCACTTGAGAAAGTGAGGACCTGGTTCAGTCTCCAGAACCCATGTAATAGGCAGGGGGTGGTGACACGCTCCAAGACAGGTGATTCCTAGGGCTTTCTGTCCAGCCAGCCTACGTTACTTAGTGAGCTCCAGGCCCATGAGAGATTGTACCTAAAAAAAACAAAACAAAACAAGGTTGATAGTGGCTGGGGAATGAGAGCTGATGTTGAACTCTCACCTCTGCATGTACATACATGCACTGTACATACATAAACACACACAAAAGTGAGATCTATTTTGTTATTATTTTTGTCACTCAATGGCATAGTTCTCACATGTAAACTTTGCCCATGACAGTGTTGGGTTGAAATCTTACAAAGTGCCTGTGTCTGATGGGAGACTAGATTCTGACCCACGTTTCATCATTATCTGTGTGTGAGCATGAGCAGGTCATTCCACTCACGGCTTAGGCTCAGTGACGCCATCTTTAAAAGAGGCAAGAGGAGGGAGAGAGGACTCATGTCACCCCTGAGATTGCTTTTATTTGGAATGTTTGAAAGCTTGTTGCCCCCCCCCCCCCCCTGCAAACCACATCAAGACATTAGACAGCAGTCAGGGGAACACTGGGCGCCTGATCCTGGGCTCATGGGGGGTGGTCTGGAATCTTCTTTCCTTTTCTTTTTCTTTTTCTTTTTTTTTTTTTTTTTTTTTGGTTTTTTGAGACAGGGTTTCTCTGTGTAGCTTTGCGCCTTTCCTGGAACTCGCTTTGGAGACCAGGCTGGCCTCGAACTCACAGAGATCCGCCTGCCTCTGCCTCCCGAGTGCTGGGATTAAAGGCGTGCGCCACCACCGCCCGGCTTTTCTTTCCTTTTCAAATAGAGAATATCAACTACTCCTTGGTTCTATCATTCACTCTTAATGGTTGTTTAAAGTTATCAGGTTTTACATGCACACACACACACCTCAAAAATACACCCCAGATTCTCAAAAGCTCCTTTTTGCCTGTCTTTCTCCCATTCTTTTTTTTTCCTCCTGAAAATATTTGTGTTTACTCATCTTCTGGAGAAGAGCTATTCCATTCCCTTTTTCTGACATTTTAAGCATGCTCTGGGGCTGGAGAGATGACTCAGTGGTTCAGAGAACTTGCTGCTCTTGCAGAGGACTGGAGTTCAGTTCCCAGCACCCACATCAGATGTCTTACAGCTACCAGTAACTCCAGCTCCAGAGGATCTGATGCCCTCTTCTGGCCTCCATGAGCACCCACATGAACATGTGTCTGTATACATGTAGACATAGACAATGCTCATAAATAAAAATTTAAAATTTTTAAATGTTCTGAGTCAGCAAGAATGCCCAATGGGTAAAAGTGTATCTCTAGGACCCATATTGTAGAAGGAAAGAACAGATCCTGTGGGTTGTCCTCTGACATCCACAGGTACACATTCACACACACACACACACACACACACACACACACACACACACACACAC